GAGAGAGAGAGAGAGAGGAGGAAATGCAGGAGCAGAAAAGCTATTGCACTCTATGGTTTACCTGATGAGCTGTTGAGGCAAAGCCCAGGCCGAGCTGTCGACACACCACCATGGCCTCATTGATGCCCCAGTTCTCGCTGCAGACGGAGCCCCAGCGCTTCACTCCTCCGATCTCCATCAGCACCTCCACGCGGCCCTCTGATGGCTCCCTGCCGCCCGCCAGGCGCACCTGAATATGGAGGGAGGGGAAAGTGTTTTCTTGTGAGTGACACTGCTCGATATCTGTTTGTGGCACATTGTCATGCGCGCTGCTCACCGTGGTCTGCAGGCCAATGTTGGGCACGTTGCAGCGGATTGCTACATCCTGGTTGTGTTTGCAGCTGTAGAGCGGCACCGGTCTGTAGATGCACTCTGTAATCGACCTCTCTCTGCCCGTGCACTGGACGCTGTTCATGTGGATGGGACCAGTACCTATAGGAGAAGGGTGTGGAGCGACAGTTGATTGACTCACATGTGACTTACTAACCACACGCAAAAGGACATACATGCACATGGTACATCAACGTCTCTTAAACCTGATGGCTCTGCAGCCACAGATGTCCACAGAGAGGGATTAGAAGCCCAGACATGTTTGGGACCTGTGATGTGGCTCTGAAACTGAGCTTAGCCAGAGAGCTTTCTGTCCAAATTACTGTACTCAGAGCAGCACAAGGCACACCAGGGCCACGCTTTATAAACCAAAATAGATACCAAAATGGCAAAACGGAGGAAAAATCTTTGAGCACATCTATGTTTGCGTAGGTGTGTGAGGCCCAGGCTAATGCTCTATAAAGCCCTATAATTTGGCCTTAACTAGCTAATGATGTCATCAAGTCTGATTCAAGTTCTCTGACTGCTGCCTATGAGCCCCCACTTTCCTCCTGCAATGCACACTCATCTGTTATTGCTCCTTTACAGCAAAACTAGCAGGTACACGCAGGTGGTTTTTAAACGCAGGTAAACCCACTAAAAAACGCATTTGATTTATCTTCCCTTACAAGTAGCGCTTCATTTTTCTTCCCCTGGTGCATCGTGTTTGACATCAAACTGAGGTACTCTCTCATTTTGCTGTCTTGCCTAATAGCACGTTCACCTGGGGTGAAAACCAATAAAAACCTGTGTCTACTGAAGAGTTGTTTGACCCGGAAGTAAATGCTGATTGTATCCATTCTCATTGCAGACAAAAGCACAAAGTGGCTAGTGTTTTTTTTTTTTACCAGTGGCCAAGAGGCTTTATACAGTATCATATATTCACACAACTTTGCTAAACAGGCCTGAGGCTTTATAATCCACAACGTTCCTTTGTGATATTTAACCACAAGCATTATTGAGCAAACAGCACCATAGCACCTAGTTTAACTAGGCCCTAAAAGTAACACTCAAATGGTTTCCATCACTAGTTCATTAAGTCAAGTAGTGAGAGGGAAATGTGCTCCACAATTATAGGACATGCTATGTGCTCATTTGAGCAGAAACATAATGGGAGCAAATAAACGTGATTACAGAATTACTGCCGAGGTAAAACGAGGAAAAGAAAAGGATGATGACTGAGTGTGAGAAAGTGACCACGCTATCTCAGAGGAAACGGCTTCACTCTATTATTGCTGTGCAATTTAGAGACTATATTTTCATTGCCCACAACAAAAGGAGGGTCAAAATAATCACGCCTCTCTGAATGTTTGGTCGTGCTCTGCACTGATTGCCTGACATCCTGGATTTCAAAGCAGCACTGACTTTTCACATACAACAGGTTTATTTTGAAAAAAACACGGCCGCTAGAAGCTCTGAGCGCAGTTTACACTGGTATAATTGGTCATGGGTAGAGTTCCCCAACAATCAGCTTCTTCAATAGAAGAAGAAGTAAGGCTGTAAACATCACTCAGGGTTTATTTGTCTGCTCAGGCCCATGGTTCTCGGTGTGCTGCGTTTAGGAACAGGCATTTAGACTGAGGAGTGTTTAGTCTGAGGGAATCACTGAGCTAAACTGATCGTGCTCAGGGTGCATGGTGAATTCAGGCACTGCTTCAAAGTCTGTGCCATTTAATCAGAAAATCAGATTAGCAGCTTGAGGCCTTTATTATACTCTATGACTTTAGGAATGAGGATATCTGATAGCATAAGAGGACAAATAAACACCAAGTTATAGTATAGTTTAAACATCTGGGGCAAAGTCTCACTTGCCACAATGAGTAAACCTTGAAAGTACAGTATATGCAGATTTAAAGTACACTTTGTATGCCTTTAAGAACAATATATCTTTAAGTATCCTGTCCTACCCTGTCCCAGCTGAGCCTTTTTGAGGGCCTCTTTGGCTGTCCCGAAGCCCAGCTCTCTACAGACCACGCTGGCTGCAGTCACGTCCCACAGGTGGTCACACATGGTGCCCCACTTGCCCTCTATCAGCACCTCGACACGACCCTCCCCAAGACGGGGCCCCGCCTTCAGGCGGACAACAGGCTGCAGGGAAAAAAGATGGGTTTAGGAGAGAAACGGTTGATCTGAACAACTTGTTCTGCTTTCAAACCAAAACAAAACAAATTTCCATGTGTCATTACATGCAAGTTTGGCTGCAGTGTCATTTGTGTTTACAAGTGGTACCCGCTTAAGCAACAAGAGTAAACACAAGCTGCGAGTATTCCCCTGTTCTCCTCCAGGAAAGAGGAGAACAGGGCTAGTGAAGTGACTACAATCGCTGCGGTGAACCTAAAGTGGAAAAGCCAAAAAGCCAGTGTTGTTGTGTGTGGGTCCACAAAGACCATCCAGAGAATTTCACTGTCCAGGCTGATGATATTCAACACTGATTGGCTTTTGCGACATCGCATCACACAAATTCTTCACTTTATTAATTTTTTATTAATTGAAGTACCTTTTTATAGTTGGTAATAAGTTTCCTTTTTTATTTCAGAATTTAAATTTTAACACTTTAATTCACAATCAAGTCGCCTGTGCTCCTCCACACTTACCGTTACAGCAGGTGGTGCAGGTGCTCTTCCATAGCGTGCGAACTGGTACCCGGGGACGCAGCGGACCACTGCATGCATGCCCCCGCTGCACGGGACATCAGTCCTGGGGAGGGACAGCTGGGCCTGGCACTGCGACAGAGACACCTCCACACCCTGACACTGCACTTTCTCCACCCAATATCCCTTTTTACCAATCTGTGTCCGCAGCCTTGAAGGGGACAGGAGACAGGGACAGCAGAGGCATATTTATGATTTGTTACATTACTCGTTCTTTGTACAGAAAATATACATGATTTTAAAAGATGTTAATTTTACCTGGAGGACGGGTCGGCTATCTTAGAGTCCCACAGTTTCCTGAGAGACAGAACACTCGGGTTACAACTGTGCATCTTTACATTGGGCAGACTAAACAACCTGCTGTCCTACACACCCACAGTCTGCTCCTGTGCTCCCCCCTTGCTACCAAACCTCCTCTTTACTCCTCAATCATCCTTCTTTTCCTTGACATCTGCACTTCCATTCTGTCAATCAAACCCTAACTTAACAAACTGAAAGTAGATGAATATATGAAGGAGACGCAACCTGCCTGAGAGGGTGTAAACATAGTCCTCATGTAAGACACAGGAGTGAGAAAAAGAGAGAGGGGAAACTTGCATCTCTTTCTCTCTTCTCTCCACCACTGTCATGTCACGATTTCTTTTTTAATCTTCCATTTCTACATTCATAGGTATTTCTGTTTCTGTGTTTGTCTATATGTCTACGGTGGATGTCTGGTTTTGTGGAGAGAAAAATAAACTAAAAATATGAATAAACCACTATACATTAATCCCAGCAAGAAGCCTTATTGAGATCTGCCAACTTCAACAGGGTTTTCAAAACTGCGTCTAGATCCGTGGGTATTACCATAAACTAGAGTCAAATCCTAAAGGGAAACTGTGTATACTCAAATGAGGCCCCCAATGACTGGGCACACACACACCCCATGCCAAAACCTAAAACAGGGAAGAAAGAAAATAGGAGAATTCAATAAAAAGAATGATTCACAAACCAGTCAGAGTCAAGGAAGTGTCCTTCTGCTGCACGCACGCACACACACACACACACACACACTCACACAGCCAGCAAAACCACAGACAGGTGCAGTGTGACTGACGCCCTGCATGAATGTGCTTGAATTAAATGAGTCAGAACACCAAGTATAGATGGGATGTGAGTTTACTGTATGACCAGATTCATGATGCAATTAAATATTTATAACGGGACATATTTCCTCTCCAGGAGAGCCCCAGTACCCTGGTATTCCAAGTTACTATCCAGTCCCAGTGTTAGATGAGAAATGTGCTTGAGGGTTGAACTTGAGCCAAAGAAACTACTGTATGGAACATGTGAACCACAAATCATTTATAATCCCAAAACAGGCCGGGGAATGGGAAACGTGTATTTATGATTTATTTCATAAGACATTTCCACTTGCGTATAAGTTTAAACTGGTACACATTGTTATTTTGTGCAGTCCAACAGTGATGAAATGTAATTTAGACAACCAGTCTGGTCTAGACTGCAGGACTCCTCTGCTGCAGATTCAAAGTGGTGAAATCTGCAAAGAAATACTAAATTCTTGATTTTCTCTGCATTGTAGTTCTAACTAACTTTATTTTCAACTTTATTTGGTCACAGAATCTGGATATATCATTGACCTATATGACCTAGTTGATCAATGCAAGTATATAAGCAAGCAGTTACTTATTTACACATCCAGTTACAGAATGTAGGTCCAATATGCACTCAGTTTACGCTCTGTTTTTGATCTACTAACTCCTGCTACATGCTCCACTGTTATAATGGGCTAGATCCTAACTTTATATGCCTGCAGTTTGGTGCCAAACAGGTAGCGTGCAGTGTGTTTTTAAAAGCTTTTCACTGCAATTAGCCGCCTGCTGCATCTGGGAACGGAGCAAGTTAGAGCACTGACAGCCACCCCTTCTTTTCTTATTTCTTTTCTTGTTTCATTATCTGCTTTTGTTTCAATTAATTTCATTGTTTTAGTAAATCTTTCCTTCTTTGTTTCTTAACTCTCTTCTTCTTCTCCATCCTTTCTATTGCCCTTTCTTTTTTCTTCTAGTTTTCACCTGATTTAAAGGGATAAACAATCTCTAAAAGCAGACTTTCTTCCACCTATACATGTTAAATGTGACAATCGATATGTATGAGCTGTGTATGATAGTGTGTGTGTTAGCCTGGGTCTATCTGCTTGCGTGTGTCTGTTTCATAACTTGGCTCTGAATCAAACAGACAGACAGACAGAGAGGGGGTGTTAGTTCACAGTTTGGAGGGCAGGGAGTGGGGGGGGTGCTACCCATATAATTGCCTGCTCTGCTTGGCAGTGTCTGCTGTGCGGTCGAGCGGCAGCATGTTGGTTCACACACACCAGACATGGAAATATGCACGTACATATCAACTTTCCTTTGCCTCTGTAAAAACAAAGGTCTTTAAAACCCCCAGTCGTTACCCAACACTATGACTGCATGCTGGGAAACACAAAGCCAGTGATGTAAGACTGATGTCTTGAATTGGGCTACTTTTACGAGCATCGCCAAACTTCACGAGAAGAGGAAAAGCATGCTCTTCTGATTTTCTGGCACACTTCAGTTGTCCTGCAGAGAAGAGAAAGCACTGTGATGCTTTCACTCAGAAATGTAAGTTGGACCTGTGTTAAGGTTATCTTAGTCTCTTTGGGAGATTTAAAGGAGGGGAGGTAAACCACAGCATCAAGCCTCAACACAACACACCTGTGACCACAGAACTGCTGCTGAATCCTTATAACCTGGAGAAGGCTTTCTTACTCTGGATATTCAGCTCGATGCCAGTTCTTTATGCAACTCTGACCACACAATACCATGAGCCACTGTGTCGAGAGGAGCTGACTGTCAGGAAAGTAGCGATAACCTATTATTATCCTGCATGAATGCAAAGCTGCCTGACTGGAACAATCGGCTCACGCAGGAGACAGCAGGTTGCCACACTGACTCCACAACAGCCTCTAGACAGTCCCATCAACATCAATGGAACAAAACTCAAAAGGGTCATAACGAAGTACTTTCCATGAAATGTGGGATTTAGTATAATTGCCACATAGGAATTAAACGCGGCCTTAAAAAGGGCTGTAACTGATGATGGGAGAAGCGTGAAGCAGGGGGTGAAAGTAAATTTTAAAATAGAAGAAGTTACTGTGAGCCTCAAAGAGAGTGTGGATGTGATGAGGGGGGGCTGGAAAATGGCTTTAGCACTTGTCTTTTGTAAGCATGGCAAAGTGGGGGAGTGTTTAAACATCTGTAAAAATGCACTGAGCAACTTAACAGGCAGAGACAAAAGCAGTCACACCAAAAAAACAACCACATGGCCAGAGAGGGAAATGCTGACACAGCAGAGGCGGGTGCAGCAGGTTCAACTGAGAGAATATTCTAGATTAGAGGATCTCTGAGACCATAATTACATCTGTTCAAGTGGACACAAACCCCAAAGAGGAGCAGGCATGGACCACTGCCAGCACATCGGGGAGCACCAAAATTATGTTATGTGACTGAGACTGAGAGAGAAAACAGATGGCTACTATCACTTTGTTGAAATTGTGTGATAGATTGTCACAACTTCAACCTCAAAAACATTTTCAAAAGAACAGAGGTGATTCATTCAGGCAGGTGGGTCGGACAACTTTTGAGCTCCAGTAACAACTAGAAGGACCCTCAGAAAGTATATATCTCCATCAAGTTCAAAATAAATTCCTTGATCCACCCGTTTATCCAAACCAACTTCCTTGGGTTATGCCACACCCCTCCACAAGATTTCAAGGATATCGGTTGAGTAGTTTTTGCGTAATCCTGCAAAGTAACTAACAAATAAACAAATGTTGGAGGCAACAAGACATAATCTACAGCAATGATACTGTGGCTCTTGAAAGCTCAGCATAGTAATGCTTTCAGCAAAACTGTACTTTTAGCATGCCAGCATGTGATTATGCTCACAATGTTAAAATACTTATGTCAGAAAGTAATGTTTGCTGTGTTCAACATCTTTGTCGGTGTGCATTTGGATAAAAATAAATTTTGACACGAAGATGGAGATTAGATTAGAAGTTACTATATTGCGGTTAAAACATTTCATTTTGACAGAGATAAATTAATTTGACAAAGAAGGAAAAGAAGCCATGTATCAACATGGCCGTAGGAAAAGTCACCAAACTTGTTTGAATTCATTGACTGGGCACTGGACATCTGAACTAAATTATATGCCAATCCATTCAAGAGTCGTCAAGACATTTGAGCAAAATAACAAAAATGACGGAGGCAGCCTTGTGGTGTAGTGGTTACAGGAAAAATGTTCCAGTTTGAATCCCAGGTTGGCTGGACCTTCCTGTGTGGAGTTTGCATGCTCTCTCCGTGTCAGCTTTGGTTTCCTCCGGATACTTCAGCTTCCTCCCACAGTCCAATGACATGCAGACATGGGATTAAGTAAATCAAAGACTTTAAATTGACTGTAGGTGTGAATGTGAGTGTGAATGGTCCAGCTCCCCCAGGGACCCTCAAATGATACGCGGTATAGATAATGAATAATAAAAAAATACAGCCTCATACTGGTGAAAGCATTATAAAAGTCAGTGTCCTCTTTGGACTTGAGAATGACTTCAACAATATTTCAATGGAAGCCACTTTACAGTTGAGATATTTCAATCCAGACAAAAGTGGTAAACCAATGTTGCCATCCCAGCCATGCTGCTAGACAGACAAAAACTGGCTCTTGTGACTAATCCAGTTAACTCTGTTAAACCTTCATAAAGCTACATTTTGAAAAACATCAACACCATAAACATCTGACTCAAAAACTTGATTTGAAGATGCCAGGGATGCTGCTTGTTCTTTTATGTTATCCCCCCAAACCCCTTAGTTGTTTACTGTTGGACAAAAATGGCTGCCTGATTCATCTCCCACGTAGCCGAGTGGAAAACAAACAACATTCTCTGGCCTGGTCCCGTCCTTAGGCAGACTGCTGGTTGGGTTCTTGGCACAGATGTATGATGTTTATCCAAACTACTCGGAGGTGTTTGCTACATTAGCAATAGACTTAGAAGTTTAGCATGATCGACTACTGGACTCGTCTTTGCTTTATCTTTGACATGTAAGGGCTTCTGGCGATGTGAAAAGGACACACATAAGTACATTTGGGGGAAAGTGGGTAAAAGTGAAGTTTTGAACAAAGCTGCAAATGAACTACTCAGCTTTGAAAGATCCCTGAAAGATAAGACACTATGAGAGAGTTGGCCTATTCAAGGCTATAAAAGCTGTGGTGGTGAACAGGGCAGCTGAGGAGAAGCAGTGTGTAAGCAGAACACAGGGGGTAATTATTACCAACATGGGGAGACAGATGGTGGAGAGCAGGCCAGCGGTCAGTACAGACCTTCTGTTGGCCAAGCCATAAAAAGACCTCTGTGGGCAGACAGACGGACACAGGGAGGTTTGTGTTTGCATGTGCAAAACAGTGTGTGTGTGCGTGTGTGTGTTTGTGTGTGTGTGTGTGTGTGTGTGTGTGTGCACATTTTTGTGTGTTTATTTGTGTGTGCATGTGGATCTTGGACATAGTTTATGTAAGGTCTCCTAAGAAGGGATGTATTAGCATGGGTGTGTGTAAGTGTGGTATTGTGGTTTGGATGGTATGTGTGGACAAGCTTTGAAGGTTTGTGTAGGTGCTTGAGTGGATATTTATGGCTAAAGTTAGACAGATGAGTTGGATTTATGGTGATAAAATCAACATAACAGACATTAACATGTCACATTATTAACATAGCGAGTAATTTATGTGTGAGGGGCAATAGTTCTAATAAATGTTGACAAAAGAGAGTTTAAATCCTTTATATTCTTTGCTCTAGTCCTGCTGTTCTACTAGTTTCTTATAAATGTTTCCTATAAATGTTTTATTTCTTTCCTCTGAAAAGCTAAAACATGTTTCTGAAGTTTTATGTCGATAAGCTAAATGTGTATTTATAGCCGTACTACTTAGAAAAAATGTGTATGCTATATTTGAATTTTCTTTTTGCTAGGGTTGAGTAAGTTCTGATCCAATGTGGCTGTAGCTGTTGAATGCTTATTTTATCCTACATGGAATTTGGGCCACTTGGGGGCAGCGAAAACTAGCAGTGAAATCAATGTTGACATTATCACCTTTAAGTTGACATGATGAACTTATTCACCAAGTTTACTGCTGATCATTTTGAGGAACTAAAACATTAAATTGGAGTTACGTTTAAGCTGAATACTCTACGTCCAATATTCACTCTCCTCTTACCTCACGTTTGGTCCCCACCAACCCCAGAGTGGATTATCTCTGGCTGTGAAATGCTTATCTTTATACAGTGCACTGAAATCAGCAGCCAGATGTGTCTTTATTTTGTTCATATAAAAACAGAATGGTGGTAGGTCTGAAATGTAAAAACCTGATCAAGGTAGCTACAAAACATGTCGCTGCTTTAATATAGTCTGCTATTGTTTAACCTGTGAATTTTCTAATTTAATTAAAATTGAGTTCAGTTTAATTTGATTCCTTTCTGTTGAATGATTATTGACACAGTTCCCACTAGGAGCTTCTTAATTATAGCAGATTAGAAACCATGTAAGGGAGGATTCATGTAAAGACACACACCATGATGATGATAATCTGGAAGTCTGGATCCGACATTAATAACATACTCTCTCTCTGTGTTAGGGCCCTCTCAGCCCTCTCAGACCGGCCTGGCGGACAGCCGGGCTTGACTAATGCCACAGTGGACATATCATCATGCAAAGTGTGGTCGTACTAATGACAGCAGTTGTGGTTAACCTCTACTACTGGGGGGATGGAACAGCAAACCAGGCACGGGGCCGCCTAATCTATGATAGGATGTGTAGTCCACCACACTTTTTCATTCCTTTCATAACCCTACGCACACACACAAATAGACACCCACACACACTCTCTCTCTCTCTTTCTCTCTCTCTCTCCTCAGTCCCTCTGCTATGTCCATGCTCACCTGTAGCTGACTTGGTCAAACGCTTCTGCAGCAGGGAACCCTAACATGCCACAGACGACGCGGCTGCTTCTCAGGTCCCATCCATGGTTGCACACATGACGCCACCTCCCAGCATTTTTCACTTCCAGCACTCCCTCTGTCACCAGACCGCCATTGTTGCTGGACAGCACAGGCCGTAGACGGGCCTCCTCTAAGTGAACCCTCGAAGATCCCTGTCCACAAGAAAACATGCACGATGATTCAAAAAGGAGTTTTGCTTTATTATGTTTTTACTTTTTTATTGTAGGATAGAAATGGAAATAGAAAGTTTAGAAATAAGAAGGTATAGAAATGTATCTTTGTCTCATTTCCTGTTTTTCTCAAGCCTCAAACTTCACACTCCAAAACAAGATTAATTTGACATCAAAAACAACACGTTGTTTCACTAAATATCTACCGACACCAAACAATCCGGAGGACAACATGAGATGTAGACGGTCTGTAATCATCACACTCTCTAATCATCTGCACTTCATTACATAGGCAGCAGGAAGGAAACTAACAGAAAACAAAGACTTAGCTTCAAGTGTCAGTTCACGTGTCATGATGAAAACAAAACTGTAAAGAATGTGTAAACTCTGCAAGTTAAAAACAACTTAGACCAAACACAAGTGACAAATGTCTTGCAATTTCCACTGGTTTGGTGTGTTGAGCTACTGGTGGTTAAACTAAACTCCAGGCCGTGCCGCCGCACTTGAACCGATACTGTAGAAGGTTTGGTTTTAGGTTTGTCTCTAATTATACATGTCCACAAATTACATTTCTGTATGGAACTCTGAATAAAGCTAGTTTGGGCAACATCTTTGGCCAAGGATTGTGTGAATATATACATGTGTGTGTGTGTTTACCTGTGTGTATTGTTCATTAGGCTCTGGATAAAGAGCGTCTGGTTCAACATGGTTCCCACTGAGCTGCTGATTCGCCTCCCGTCTCACTGCTTGCTGGCTGGTCCTTGATGTCTCCTGCCTATGCCTGTACGATGCCCCATTTGCCAGACGGGAGGGCAGCTGGTGCCCTTGTGGGTTCATCTGCTGGCTCGCTCCGGACCCGGCTCGATTGCGTCGCAAGATCTGGATCTCGTGGCCGTTTTCCTGTGGCGAGATGCTGCTGCGACGGGAAGAAGTTGGGTTCCGATGAAGGGCAATCTCATGGCCTCTTGCGTAAGAGGAGATTTGTTCTGCTGCTGAGGGTGGAGCTGGAGGGGACACAGGTGGGTTTCTCGGCCTTGGTTGGTTTGGCTGGTGCCTGGATGATGGACTGGACTCGTCCACAGAGGCAGGGGAGAAGCCAGGTCTCCTTTCTGGACTGCAGATGACCCCAAGGTCCTCAGCGTGGGTGCAGTCATTGATTCCCCACCCATTGGAACGACATTCTGCAACAGAGAGCTCATTGCCCTGGCAGCGCACATTGTCCAACCAGATCAGACCTAATGACGAGAAAATGCGCTAAGTCATTGAATCAGGAGAAATAAACCAGATTAATGAACAAGTATGATGTTAACAACTCAATATTCTTGGCCAGACATAGTCGATATTTAAAAAAAATCATGATAAATGTAAATTATTTCTTATATTCCACATAAGTTCAAAGACAGATTTTTGCTCCTGAGTAATGGTTGTGGTTTTAAACTCGTCTTTATAGACGGAGAATGACCTGAGGTTGACAAATTTTGTGTTATACCACCTCACTGTGTTTGCAAAATGCATAACCAATATATGGATATACAGTGTAGCTATATTTGTTATATTGCTGTAATACTGCAATAATTATTCAGAATCTTTTAATGCCCAGCCCTACCTTGTCCTTCACCAAACTTGGCACTGTGCGCCCAGGTAAAGCTGCGCTGAAAACCCAGCTGTCGGCACACCACATTGGCCAGATTGAGATCCACCTCGTCGTCGCACACCGTCCCCCACGCTCCATTATAGAACACCTCCACACGTCCCTCATTTGCACTGCGCCTGCCCACGCCTGCGAGGCGTATGAGCAACTCCTGGGCCGACAGTGGAGCGGGACAGAGGAGAAGCAGGAGGAGTGTGGACAGGGAGCTGAGGCACAGCATCCTGGAGAAAAACACGAGAATGAGGAGTGAGTAGGTGATGATGTGAATCAAGCTGAAGGCTGCGTCTCTTGAGGAAGAGCAGCAGATACAGAAAACAGCAAAGACACATGTAAAACAAGAGCCCCATAAATAAATGTTCACGTGTTACCACAAAAATCCCAAAAATCACACAAAGCCATGGAACTCACATTCCGTGCTAAGACAAAACATATAATTACAAACTTATCTTCTAACCCTAATGGGACATTCCACACTCAAATGAAAGACTGATAGGTGTTTTTATCATTTTAAATAATCACACTCTCTTAAAAGACAGCCAGAGGCCTGAGAAACACTGTGAAGATGCAGCCCTCAGTCTGAACCAGTCAGGCTGAAGGGAGTAGTAACTGAAGCTAAAAGTAGCCTCTCTGTCCAGCCAGCGGAAACTTCGGCTTTCCGCAAACCCTCAAGCTTCAGCTGCATGGATTTAGCCAACAGACACAAAAGCAAATAAACACAGTCATAAAAATGTTCTCACACATAAATAACGCAGCAGGTCTGCATCTATGAGAGATGTTTTGGTTAATGAGTGATGATTAATTCATCCTTGGTCCAACTCTAAAACTTTTTTCTCTCCTAGTTAAGAGGAAGAGGTTGGAGAAAAGGAGCATCATGAGGAAGAGGAGATGTGGAGGTCAGGTTATTTACAGAGTTAATCCAGCCAGAGGTCAATGGTCAGTGAAACTCTGCTTTACATATATAAAACATACACTCATACAAGACTATAAATATGTGTTATAAAAACAATAACTCATAAGTGATAACTCGTACATGTTATCTTGATACTCGTCGATAACTAAGATGAAAGAAGAGTGGATGAGTTCAGATGATCATCATGAATTTGGAATTATACTGAAATATGGAAGAAACATAGATTGAATCAAAAAAGAAAAAACAATGAGACAAAGTGTAAAGTTAAGAGGAGAAGAATACAAATGCTCCAGTTGAACTCACCTATCTGTTGGTCTCAGCTTGGAGTCACTGGGAGAAAGGAGGGAGAGAGCACTGGGGGGGAAGAAGGCAGCGAGTTTGGTCCTGCTCTCTCTCTATTCTCCTCTTTTCCCTCCCTCTGTCCTTTTCTGTCACTCCCTCACATCTGCTGCTTCATCCATCCCTCCCATTTTCTTTTAATCCATTAAATTAAGCAGCTTCTATTTTCTCCCTTTTCATCTCAGTGCTTTCCATCACCCATCAAACAAAATCTGGAGAAGGGAGACTGACCACAGACATCAATTAAAACACAAAGGAATTACAAAGCAAAATATACATTTTTGTTGGTTCCTCAGACGACAGATTAGATTTTCAACATTTTGATGGGTGATAATTACAGCAGCAACGCAGACCTGTGAACGCTTGTTTATTAACTTTTTAAATTCATATTAAACCAATCTCTTTTCTTGCATGCTGCAGGTCACATGGTGGACACATGGGACACGTGAGTTCAATTTAAGATCATGATGTCATCAGGATATCAGTTGTTTTTTACACACACACACACACTTTAGTCAATGAATATTAATTTTATTGTCTCTGTGTCAGTCATGCCCAGACACAGAAACACACACAAACACACACGCACACATACACGCACACACAGACACACACGCACACATATACACTCACACACACAGATACACACGCGCGCGCACACACGCACACACACACACACATACGCACACAAGTGAGCCCTGGCATCATCCCATGCCCACAGTCAGTGGTGTCATGAAATAAATACTATGTGCAGAGAGAACGGAGCTGCCCGTCTGAACTCTGTCTCTTTGCCTGAATTTTCGCTTTCATAACATCCTCAGTCGTGGCACCTCCTCACTCGAAGGAAGCTCTGTCTAAGAATAGAGATGTATGGTGGCTACGTGAATAAGCAAGCACAGATATAAGTCAAAAATCTGATAAGAATGCTTTAAAGCTTGTTGAGATGAACTTAATTTAATAATGTAAGAAATACATGATTTCTATAGAGTGATTTATGTAATTTACCTTTAAAATTCCTGTTTTTGATCACCTTCTCTGATGTATATGTTTTTGTAAACTTGAGTGCACCTTAGTTTTTTAGTCTTATCGACCCCTCAAAGTGCTTTAAAGCTCAAGTTGCATTCACCCAATCACACACACATTCATTCAGCACTTCTAAATGCAAGGCTGTTACTATCACAAACCGCTGTCAGGGGCAATTTGGGGTTCAGTCCAAGGATACTTTGAAAGGCAAACTGGAGGAGCCGGGGATCAAACCACCGAACTACTGTTTAGTGGCCACTCTACCTCCTGAGTTACAGCTACCCTCTGTGCAATAAATATTAAAGACATTTTGATGTATGAGCAATTTTGTTAACATGACATAAAAATATTCCCACTAGGTTTTTGTGCTGATTTTGGGCAGATGCCAGCTCACTGTCACTGGTTAGAAGATACTGAGGCTCAAGAGCTCACTCTAGTGGAGTAAATCTCTCACTTGAGCCGGTTTCACATTCTGTTTTTATTCTGCCCGACACGATGTTGATTATTGAACTCTTAACAAAATAATCATTTTGAACCCAAGACACTTTTTTCCCATCAGGTGATCCAGAAGATCTTTACAGTGACATGAGTTTGGACAGGTTACCATCTCACATCTCATTGTAACATTTGTAAATGATGCCTGAGTGTCTGAAAACGCTCAACACACTCCAACTCAAGAAAACATCCTGAACCACTTTTACAACACGTGCATTATGAAAAAATGTGTTGAAGGGGTCAAAACAAAAGCAAAGGAAGAAGCAATCGACAGTAAAAAAAAAAAGTGGCCCAAAGAAACAAGATGCAAACATTGAAAACTCAGATACACATACAAGTTGTAAGAATATACCAGCAGTTCACTGGATTATTAACATTAGATTGATGCTCTAGCAGCAAATATCCTGATTTTTACTGTGTAATACACAAACACTAGATCCTGAAGGATAAAGTACTAACCTGGATAAAGCCACATGGTGTTAAATGACACACCACTGACACACTACAGATTAAAATCAATCAAAGAGGTTGTAAAGTACATGCTTGAGTCTAAAGAGTGAAACATATTTCCCTTTTTCTCATTTTCATAATTTGAACAAAAATTTAAAAAACAGATAAATTTACTGAAAGACAAAATAAAATACCGATTTTTTGTGATAGTGTTTATGTCACAATGTTATTCTAAACATTTCTATGTTTACAATTGATCAATGGCTGAAAACGAATAACTGATGAATCAATAATGAATCAGTTGATTTGAGCTGAAGCTCGTTCCCACAGTGAAATCTGCTGACTCGCTCGCTCTAATCTGCTTCATCATATCCGCTGTCAACTCGTCCAGCAGAAAACTGCAGAGTCGCTCAGAGAGACAGGGAGCACATGACTCAGCACATGTTTGTTTACAGGTGCCGACGTCATCATAGTGCAGCAGCTCGGCATCATGGGAACGAACATTTAAAACATTTGAATAACATTTTAATTTTCTTTTCATTGTAAAAATGAAAAAACATAACCTAGTTGTTCCCTTCAAAATAAAACGTCAGTCGAGCTCATAAATAATGTTTATTTGTTTTTTCACTTTTAACTAAAACGAAATGATTCATTGTTGAAGTCAGAGTCGTCTTNACAGTTAGATAATTAGAAGTAACAGTACAGTAGTATCTGTAATTGCAAATTGAATTATTCATGGGTTATTTAATTGAGATAGTTCCTTTGTGTATTGATGATATTGGATTTCTCCTTGCATAACTTCTACATTTATATAATAGTAAATGCATAAAGAGTAGAACATCCACACAGGAACAGTAAACCCTCTTTGAAACTGAGCTTACTGCTACTACTTTGTGGAACAAGACTCACCGAAGCTGGCGTTAAGTTCATCCCTTTCATCCAGGACAATTCGGTTCATCTGAGGTGAGTGGTACTCCGTTCATCTTCCCTACTGCCTCCTTCAAGCCTTCAACCCTCGTCCCTGGAAACCACACAGTAGGAGAAAAAAGTTTTTATTATTGTGTAGAACAAATGTGAGAACATCCCCTTCTTCCCCTCCTTTCCTTACCTGGTCTACTACGTCCTCCTGTGGCTCCATATTCAGAAAGCACAAGTCCGTGCTCATCTGGCCTACCTGTCACCACTGAGTTGATTGATCCTGGAACTAGACAATACAACATTTTTTAGCAACTTTTATTACACATACCACTATGGCCAGCCTGGGATCAGTGAACAAGGTGTAATGGGCCACTGTGTGATGGTAACATTACATAATAAACCACATGTTCTGCTGACTGGGCTCTGATAAAACTCCTCATCACAATGATGTTGAATAGGATGATAGGGACAGTGATGATGGTGCTGAAATGTTTGGATGTTTTCCCCTTCTGAACTTTGGGGGAAATAGAAAATTAACATTCTTGTTTACCATTATGTGTAAGTACAGTATGAATTATGCATGAGCAAGGATCAACCCTGCCAAGCTTGTTATCAGCAAACGTCACAGCCATCAATTGCGTGACCAAGGACACGCAAAGATGCACTTTCTCTCTTTGTCTGTGAGGAGGTGCAACTCTGAAAGATATAAAGTGTGAAATTAATCTCTATTCGAACTTCCATTCTGCTGCAACCCGTCTGACTGTGACACTTGGACGCAATTTACAAATGTTATAATAAAAGACAAGACAGATGACGTCTCTTTTGGGAATCTTTATTTTAGAAAATGTCACAACAAAACACAACTGGTAGACATTTACTTATGTAGCAAAACATTAAATATCTGACTTCTACAAATTCTGTCAAAATGGTCATAACTCAGTCAGATCTGAGCAGACATGAAACACATGTCAACATCCAGAACCGACCTCCAGAAATCCACACGGCTGGAGAACTTCACTCAGAACAATAAGTGTTTTTCTATTTCACAGTAATCCTGTCATCATAGAGGGAGGTCGACTTGAGAGCGGCTGGCCAGCCACAGTCGCCTCGCATGCCTCATGCAGGAGCATCACTGGGGAGGCTGCAGACACCAGCTGCTGCTGGGAGTAGAAAGTGGAGTAGTAGGAAAGGTGAGGGTGCAGCGGGTTAGTGGGTCCTCCCACTGTGCTGCAGAAACCTGGGGGGAAGGATGGATGGTGGTGGGCCAAACGAGGAGGAAGGACAGAGCAGGGCCGTGGAGAATTTAGGATGTGGCATGGCGGCTTCACTGGGGGGTTCTTCTCGGGGGGGCTCTTTGAAGGTTTCTTTGAAGGCATAGGCTTGTCTGGGCTCGGCTTCACCATTAACTCCCACTTGACTGAGACGGACAGTGAAAACTGCTTCTTGAATGCTGGATAAAGAAAAATGAGGAAGTACAGCAGTGTGGATCACAGCAATACACAGATCTGCCACATTAGCAGATAACAGGTTTTAATATTGTGACTCCTGTGTGCAGTACATCTGTGGCCTGTTTTGAAAGGGTCCATTCAAGACCATGAGTAATGTCGTTTAAAACACATTTTGTAGTTTCACTAAGTTTTGATAGGCAGCACGACTGAGACTTCCTAGGACTGGAAGATTGATCAAATCCTTAGATTTGGAGGTGGAGGTGCCAAACATGAAGCAAAGAACATTGAGTCAATGTATGTCAGTGATGTAGTCCAGGAGTAGCAATCAAATCCATTCCAATCAATATTTGCTCTCATTTGTCAGAACTTGATGTCTTTGCCAAAGAGGTAAAATTAAGTTTTTATCAATGTTTGTTTATCTGTTAGTAGGATTACACAGAAACTACTGGATGAATTATCTTCAAACTTGGTGGAAGGATGTGGTATGTTTCAGGAAAGACCCTGTTCAATTTTAGCATGAATCTGGATTAGAATTTATTTATTTAAACATGGGAACATTAGGTATTTTTCAGCATTTCCCTATTCTCAGAATAGTCCATGGATCTTGACCTCCACATTCTAATCAGCCCATCCTTGAGTCCAGGTGAATGTTTGTGCTAGATGTAAGAAATATCACATTCACTAGAACATGAGGTCACAGTTACTCCTTGAATCAAACTGAACGTTTGTACCACATTCTAAGAAATTCCCTCAAAATGTTCTTGAGATATCGTGGGACGGATGAACAGACATACATGGGACAGACATCCTTAAAACAGAACCTCCCGCCTCTGGCTGTTTCCAGAGTGAAGGTGTAATTATGTCAAATAGATTCATAATTATAAGTGAGGGTGACGCTACAAGTGGAACCATATTTACAGCAATTCACTGATCGCATGCATCAGTCGATCACCAACCTTCCACCAGCATCTTCTTGGCCATAGAAGCAGCCTGGTGAGATGAGAAGGTCACTTTAGCTGACACCCCCTCTACACCAGCTCGAGTCATCAGACTCACTCTCTCCACCCCATCGGTGAGCACACGCAGTACCTGCACACACAGAGAGTTGCAGCATTACAGGCAATGCTAACTTTGTTATGTTGCAAAAATGCCATTTCAAAATGATGTCATTACACTGCTAGGACCATTTTGAATCTTGAATGTGAGTGACATTTAAAATGTATTATCTATTTCACACCTGCATTATTGCTGGGAAGTATGTAGGAAAGTAGATTGGTGTACCAGGTAGTTTAGAGTTCAGTCATGTCACGTTTAGACTTTAATTAGTGCATATTTGAATAATTGTTAAATGAGAGTAGCAGTGGCCAATTAGCTGCTCTTCTTGTGGGAGGGAATTGTGGTTTGGTTTTGGGTTTTCTGTCTAGTCCCCCTTGTCAAGTGAGCCAGCAGCAAGACCTTGGGAATGGTCTTGGGACAGACGAGGTTTCATTGATTTGTTTTTTTCATTTATTTTCAATCTGCTCACGTCCCCATTTGTATTGCTCAAGCTGAATCTCAGGCTTAAGAAGTGTGGTGGAAAAAAATGCAATAAAAATGCACACATCTGCCAAGTTAAAATGTTATAACTTGGATAGTGTGCGTAGGATTGCAGGAAGAATTAGCTCCTGTCATGGTCCTTTGTAAGTCTGGTATATGTGAAGAAATTGACAATAAAGCTGACTTCGACTGTCCTGTTAGTAAGCTTAAGATTGTGAAATTTAGATTTTCTAATATCTAATCTACAGTTCTGGTAAAAATTCATGGTTATGAACTGGTTGCTGAGTCTAAGTTCCCATCATATAATCACTTAGACAAGCTACAGTGCTGTTGTACCTGCAGTAAGTCCTCTTGCCTGCTGGTGACCGGCAGGTTGTCAATACAGAGGTGTCTCTTCTCTGTGCTGCGGCGAACACTGAGGCAGGACCCGGACTCCAGCACTTGGCCGTTCAGCAGACGGATCGCATCAGCGGCTACACTCTGCGAGCCATATTTGGCGTACGCGAAGCCGCGGTTCTGTCCGCTGAAGTTCATCATGAGCCTGAACTCCCAGAGTGGACCCACGGAGCTGAACAGGGGGATCAGCAGGTCCTCGTAGGTGTCCCGCGGGATCTGGCTGATGAAGACCTCGCAGCGGGCTCCTGGGGTGGGGCCGTTCCACACTGTCACCAAAACAGACAGAAGAGAGAAGTGATCTGTCACATGGTCTCATCAGGTCAAGTTGTTACTTTGTTGGCTTAAATCTTCATTAAAGGATAAAGCCTGAGTTTTGTGATCTTTTTTTATTCTTATTATAGAAAATATCAACATCTAGAATGGCACCGAGTGCAGCACGTACCTCCACCACAGTCCCCACAGGAACCACACTTAAATTGATCAGATCTGGATTTTGGGGGGTCTGCACCAAGTTGTAAACATAAATATCAATCCCTTAAACATGCCCCATTTTTCTCCCTCAAGATCCATGAGTTATTCTCAGAGAAATTTTTAAAAAAAGTTGAAAAAATCCTACGCAATATACAAAGGATAATATCCCTTTTATTTAAGTAAATATTGAGGCATCGTTTTCCCCTCTATTGTGACCATAGCACAAGATTTTAACTTCACTCTCACAACACAATGAGAATCTTGTCTTGTCCGCAGTAATCTTGTGTAAAATGGAGCAGCAGCGGTCTCTCTCACCCTCAGGTGGTCCCCCGTACTTCCTCTGGCCATTTACTTGAGTCAGTTTTACACTGGTTGTTTCCAACCAGGTTTCCAGGGCCTGCACCCGCTCAAGATTCAGCACCTGACAGGAAAGAAAAGACAAGTGGGAACAATTAACTACTTTGCAACTAACATGAGAGATAATTTGAATAAAATCATTGTTACACAGTTTTAACCCACTTATTCAAGGCATGTATAACTGGCAGTTCTAAGTGTAAAAGTACCAATTGAGCAAATTTTAAAAGTCAATGTACCTAAACACCTGTGTTATGTCAAATATAGCATGTTTACTGGGATGTGAAACTAGACTTCACCTTGGTCTTCAGTCAGTGTTATATTGTCATGCAGTGTAACGTGATAATTTAATGCTTTTTTCAGATCTTCAGGGATGGAAACTGATTCAATTTTCTGGTCTCTTTACTTTGTTGAACCTTGACTAGCGACGTCACAGCCTCAACCAAAAGCAATAACATTTGTGTGGTTGTCTTGACTTGGCTGGCATTAGCAGTAGTTTTCAAGATGGAGGAGACCCTGATATTGGCTGCGTCAAGACAGCCAGTTCGTTATGTTGAACATGAAAACCAATCGTCCAGCAACCACCAGCACAACCTCGAACAGAATACAGACCACACGACTGATTCACATCTTGCTCTGTTCACATTCAGCAAGCTGTGATTTGTAATTCCCTCGACAGGTGATTATCAGTCGCCTGCATTTGTGACTATGGCCTTATGTTCAATAGTCTGCAGCAGATGAGTACAGGGCTGTAACTTTTTCAAAAACTTTAATTCGACATGACATGCAATTCATTCAGTCAGATGAGGATGGTGTCGCTCTGCTTGTCTGTGGTGCCTCTTCCTTACTTGGGTTGAAAGCTAACAGGTGAGCCCACAGACCACAAAGTTCGCAAACAGCCTTACAACAAAAGTGTTACTTCGCGGTGTACAGTGTAGAACCAAATTACTTTCACAAGCCACTCCCTGGATGCTTTGGTGAAATCTCACAGGTCGTTACAACGAGAATACTTTTCCCTCCACATTTGAATTTCAAATGAAAAGCGACAGCTCTCATAGGCTACAGAGGTTTGATGATTTCACTTCATTTTGACTTCAGATTAGTTTTACATTTCTTACAAGTAGGCTTCTGTGCAAGCTGATGCTGATTCATCACCTGGACATTTATCAGACTCCATGTTGATTAATAGCTCCGTCCAGTTTTCCCCACACACCTGGTTGAGCTTTGGGGAGCAGTTTTTTTTTTTCCTTTCTCCAAAGTAACTATTGTTTAACTTTGTTAAAACTTAGCTTATAACTACTCACATTTTTCAATTAGCCTCTTATATGCACATTTTAAATTCAATAATAAAAAACACTTAGTAACATGAATATAAACGCTTTGCACAGAAATGTGACTAAATATCAAATGTAGTAAGAAAGATAGATCCATCTAGAAATGTATACATCCAGTCATCCATTGAGTATGAGCAACTGAGATTATGGAGGTTAAGTAAAAGTAAAAGGTTGTCAACTTGACATATATATATGGAAGTTGTGCAAACAGTTAACAGTTGTATTTAAACTTAAATGAAGAGAAAACCAAACATATTGTGTAAAGTGTGTTTCTGTCAAGACTTGTTCGTTGTTATTCAAACGTGGAACACAGTTCACTGAACACATCCTCTGGCCCTGCATGTGCCACCTGGTCCCAGGTGTGTCCTTCGTGTGAAACCTGCTAACACGCAGGACAGTGAACCCTCAACCCCCACAGTGGAGGACGAAGTAAAAGTACCGATGAAGACAGGAAAAGGTTCTGTTAACAGAAAGCGTCTACAGTCAAACATTGACTTAAGTCAAAGTCTTAAGTACCAACTCACCGCCTCGGAGCCCATGTTGTTGAATTAGGATGAGACAAGTAATTAACAGGCTGGTGCAGGACTGCTCCGTGTGCACCAATCAGGCGAGAGCTCCTCCCTCTACCAGCTCAGCTCGTGCTAGTGACCCGCCCATTTTTTTAACAACTTTATTTACAAACTTGCATATAAACAATTCTTTCAAACATTTGCTCAAAACAGAAAATAAACAGCTCAAGTGACAGTACAGCTAAATAAACAGTGATGTAGATCCATAAATATTATATTATATTCAAATAATACAATATATATATATGATATAATATAATAAAATACATTTATTATGTTAAAAACGTTTATGCAACCCAAGTATAAATGAAAGACAAGAAAATAGAGGGGGCAACTATTTCTTATCTTGTATTGAAAATTATTTTTTTGGATGGTATGTATATTAAATGTATAAACATATATATATATATCCCTTTCACCCCCCATGGGATGGTATGTCTTCCTTACGCTCAGGCCCTCTAGAGTTTGAAGGGTTTTGCCTGTAGATAAGATGATTCTTTTAAAATGACAAACATTTTTAGCAAGGTTGTGGACAATTGGACCAACTGACAGTTTCGCTGATAGATGCACATGCATGACCTTTAGTTCCTTTAGTAGTTAATTGCGCATATGTGATAACTGATCCTCTAATAGTGCAATAACTAACTAAACCTGATCATGAACTGTACGTATTGTTTATTTATTATTATTGTAAATTTTAATCTGTGAACAAAGAAAAGATTCTATACAACTGAGTGTTTGCACCAAAAGCCTCACTGAGACATGGATGTTAACTCTGCTTGTAAAACATTACAGCAGCAGAAAAACAACTGTATGTCAACTAAAGAAACAGGAGTCTGGTCAACCTTTGTGTTTTGCAGTCACATTTGTACCAAATTATGGTCAAAATTATCCTGTGGTCCAACGTTACATTCATGACTAACTCTTTATGAGCAATGTATATGATACTTTTGTAAATGTGAATGAATAAAAAAAACAATGGCGTGACATAGTGAGTTTTATTTTCTTCATTACACCGATGGATGCATATAATGTGATGAAGCAATATTATGTATCATATTTATGAAAACATCTTTTCTTTTTTCCTGCTGCAGAAGAAATTCTCTAATTATGCTAAACAAAAATACAGTATAATCAAAATATGTGCTATCCTTAAGATTTTCCTTTTTTTTTTTTTAAATCAAATAATATTTAATTCTAAAAACACAGCAAAACAAAAAACAAAACAGAAAATGTTTTACATTTTCAGCTAAAGCTGAATCGTCGCTATCTTCAGTATCCTGACAGTGTGGAGACTGTTGGGTATCGTTTACGCTGAGTCATGCACTTGTCCCTCTCGATGAACAGCGAGTGGGTTTTGCAGTTCATGTCCTTCTCAAGGGCCATGCGAGACTCCTCCAGCTTGGACAGGGAGCCTCTGGCCTCGCTCAGCTGCTGGTGCAGAGACGCCACAGTGGCATCAATCTGCCTCACCTCCTCCTCCAAACTACAGACACAGGCAGCGAATGAGGGGATGGAGAAACAAAAGGAGATACAGCACATACTGATTTGTAGGTGTGTGCATGTGTATGTATGTGTGTGTGTGTACCTGAGCTGGGGTTCGTCCCTGCAGAGCTCCATGTGGGGTCTGATGGAGCGTACGTAGAGTCTGGACTGAGCTACTCTCAGTGGAGCCTCTTTATTGTGGATGGCCTGTTGTAGAGCAACGATGTTCCTCTCCTGAGCCCCGATCTGCTCCAGGACCTGTACAGACACACACACGATCATACAACAGATAATCTATCAATCGACCAATCAATCATTCTGTGTGTCTGTGTCTACCTCTGCGAGCTTCATCTCCAGCTGGGTCTTGGCCTCATTCAGCTCCACACAGCGCTGGCTGAAGGCTCGGTCCACAGTGGAGCACTGGACCCTCAGATCTTCAGTGGTGTCCAGCAGCACTCGCTCCACCAGCTTTCTGAGATGCACACAGTGGATATAAAAAGTCTACACACCTCTGTTAAAAAAAGAATTTTTTTGTGATGGAAAAAAATTTGACCACGATAAATCATTTCTGAACTTTTTCCACCGTTAATTTGACCTATAATCTGCACAATTCAACTGAAATCTTTCAGGGGGAAAAAAAGTAAAAACTATAATAATGTAGTTTCCTAAGCGTGCACACCCTTTTATAATTGGATATGTTTAGAGTTAACCAATCACATTCAAACTAGCAGTCAGCACACACCTGCCATGAATGAAACACTGATTAACCCCAAATAAAGGTCAGTTGTTTGAGTCCTGACTATCCTCAGTTGTATCTTACAGCACATGGAACACAGTGAAGACAGTCATCAACAAGTGGACAAAATATGGCAAAGAGTGCCAAGAGGTCTGCAGCAGGGATTTCTGCCAAGCACGGGTTGTGTACTACATGTGACAACAATCACACGTACTCTTCATATGTCTGGGCTCTGGGGTAGGGTGGCAGGATGGAAGCCTTCTCTTTCAATAAAAAACATCCAAGCACGGCTTTTGCATCAAGTCTCCAAAAGCATGTGTTATGGTCTGATGAGACCAGGCTTGAACTTTTTGGCCATAATTCCAAAAGGTATGATTGGATCAAAAACAACACTGCACTTCACCAAAGAACAGCATACCCACGGTGGAGCATGGCGGTGGCAACATCGTGCTTTAACGTTGTTTCTTCTTCAGCTGGAACTGAGACTTTAGTCTTTAGTTTGTTCGAATGAATAGAACTTTATTGTCCACCAAGGGTGGAAAATTGTCTTTGGCTCACCAGTACAACATAAAATCAGACAAACAGATTCAACAAAAACACATTAAAATGTCAATAAAAATAGCATTTCAGTTTCTGGCCAGGCCAGGCCACGCCCCCATTAAATGGCACAATTTTGACAGAATGGCTTCACCAGAAGTAGATTAAAGCTTTGGAATGGCCTAGCCAGAGCCCAGACCTTAATCCTCATAATGTGATTTGCAAGGAAGAGTGGGCAAAGATTGCCAAGTCAATATGTGCAATGCTGATGGACTCCTACCCAAAAAGACTGGATGCTGTCATAAACTCAAAAGGTGCTTCAACAAAGTATTAGTTTAAGGGTGTGCATATGTGTACAACCAGGTTATTTTCAGGTTTTTATTTTTTCCTCTTAAAACATTTTTATATTTACATCACAACAACCTGGCACTTTAACAGGGGTGTGTAGACTTTTTATATCCACTGTAAAAACAGCTATGGGTAATATTCATGAATGTGCCACAGTGTCACTTTGAGTCTGTGTGGAGGCTCAAACACAGTCCGAACACACACGCTGCTCTCTGACCTGAGGCTGCTCGAGGTCTGCTCCTCCTGCATGGCTCTGCTCAGGTTGTCCTGTGTGAACTTAGACCATGCTGTGTGGTTACACACCCTGCAGAAGACCAGAGGGTAGATTGTGCATTAATCATAAGGGTTATAAGAACAGGTTTTCATTTGCAGGTAATATCACTTCATGTATTTAGGAGCGTTTAAAGGGAGTTTTGGGGCTCGAGACTAAAGGGACCAGGGAAAAACCCCCAAGAAAAACATGATACATGATAGACTCTTTAGTCTTCAACCAAACCTCTAAAACTACAAAGCTTCATGCCTCCGCCTCACTGGGTGTGTTTGGTAGTAAGTCTGCTGAAGACCTACCAGCACTATGTGTTACATAGGGTTTCCCTCTGAAAATAGTCATAAATAAAAGAATTTTGATATAATGCCATACAGCTAATTAACTCGTTGTTTTGACAGAAAAGGGGTTAAAGGGATAGTTCACCCAAAAGTGAAAATTCACTCACCACCATATGGATGGAGGGATGGGTGTCAACTAAACACATTTGGAGTTTCTGGGGTATCCACACGCAAACAAGGCTCCAGAGGAGGATCACAGCAAACAGACTGAAAGCACGGTGTAAATGACAGCATATCGAGGGCTTACTGATACCCAGATGACACCACAGGAGCAGTATGGAGGCAGTTTTTTACTGTTGTTTTTATTCATTTGAGGAAGTGGTCACCAGTTCCCTCAGTTGTATTGGATTTGGCTGCAACGCTGTTTACCTCTGAGACTCTAAAAGTGTTTTGTGGACTCAAACACTTCACCAATCCCTCCGTCATAGTGGTGAGTAGATAATGAATTAAATTTCATTTTTGGTTTAAAAAGCATTTAGTTAATAATAAAAGAATTAAAGCCTTGTAAAAAAAATTCAAGGATTCAGTCAACACAAATGCTTGAGTGCTTTTACTTTGAAAGAGGTATAGTTGTGTTGCGAATATTTATGTATGTGACATATTCAACAGATTAATTTCACTTTCTTTTTTGTTGCAAGCCACACAGCATGAGGAGAAATGGTCGATCCTGACTCTCTAGAAGAGCATGTGTGGGCTCTAACCTGATATAATGAAATAGATCCAATGCGTCCTGGGTGTTGTGCAGAAAGCTAGTGTCTCCTTATGGGGTTTAGTGTTGTTGCAGTCTCCTGTGATAAGCCAATAATAGAATTGAAGAGTCCTCACAAAATTGTCGTTGCTGTGGATCGACTGTTCTCTGGGGCCACCTATCAGCTCGTACACCCAGGAAGTTGCCTGCTTAATCTACCTTGTTGCAACGCCTCTGCACACACACACACACACTCACTGGTCCTGCACCGTGGCTGAGCTGGGGTGGTGCTTTGTATCTGGACTCATGTTACTGTATCTTCCACAGTGGTCATCCAGGTCGTAGGCCTCATACTTATCAGACCAGTCCAACTCTAACGTCTGCTTGGCCTCTCTGTTCATCCTGATACAGACACACAAACACACACACATCAAAATAAAAGGGGCACTTCATAATTGAGGTATGTGAGGCAGTTTGACTTCTGCGAAACAGGACTGTAAACTCACTTGATCTGAGTCACAACCTGAGCTGTGGTTCTCTTCAGAAGAGCCTGGACGCTCCTGATCAGGTCCACTTCCTGCAAAACCCACAGCCATGCTTCTGGTTAGTGACATGCTGAGCCCTCTGCTGGTGTCACTTTACTCTTA